GTGCTTCGCGCCACAACGGCGTGCACTTTTTCGACATCTCAACTTCCAAAAGTGGTCCGACAATGGTGTGTTTTGTACATTTGACTTCGAAATGTGCTTCGCGCCACAACGGCGTGCGCTTTTTTGACATCTCAACTTCCAAAGTGGTCCGACAATGGTGTGTTTTGTACATTTTGACTTCGAAATGTGCTTCGCGCCACAACGGCGTGCACTTTTTCGACATCTCAACTTCCAAAAGTGGTCCGACAATGGTGTGTTTTGTACATTTTGACTTCGAAATGTGCTTCGCGCCACAACGGCGTGCACTTTTTCGACATTGCAACTTCCAAAAGTGGTCCGACAATGGTGTGTTTTGTACATTTTGACTTGGAAATGTGCTTCGCGCCACAACGGCGTGCAATTTTTCATCTCTCATCTGGCCAGCTGGCTCCGCACCCGCCGCTTTAGCGAGCCTACTTTTCGACCCTCCGGAGCCCCAAATCATTGGAAAAACATAGTGTTTCGCGACTTTCCTATCTTTTCGCGCATCTGCATCTTCTTTCTTCTTACTCTTTCTCTTCTACTCTTCTTTCTTCTAATCTTTCTCTTCTCTCTGCCTCTTCCCTGCTCTGCTTTTCATCTGTCCATATTGTCGGAAGTTTGACTTCTAAACTTCCTTCGATAAGGGCAGATCCAAAGGAAACTATGGGTTTTATCATGAAATCCTGGGATAGGAGATGCCAGTGGAGTGAAAAACTCGTACCATCTGGTTATTTAACATAGCTATGGAAGCCATGGCCCATAGAAATAGATGCTAAAACATGATTTGCCTATGAAGAATGGTGATTTTCCATAGCTACGTTAAATAGCAAGAGGGTATATATATATATATATATACATATTCATATATAGTCATCCTGAAATAGATAGAATGTGACATGTGCAAGCATATTTCCATTTTACATGAGATCTTTAGAAAAAGATGTGAACAATCCATATTCTATCTACTCCAGGATGACTATATGTATATGATATATATGATTTCTTGCATGATATGATCATGATATATATATATATATATAGTCATGATATGTGTGTGTACATATTATATGTATATATATATATATTGACTTATATATCTACACCGTTCCCCAAATTAACATGACAACTCTGCCATGAGTCAATGAGTCGGATGAGGGAAGACTACTTTCCACCTCAGATTGGCTATTCGCGTCCATGTTCTCCGGGATGGAAACTGTTTCACAAATGACTTATCAATAGTATATATATATATTACTTTACATATATTATACTATCGAAGAATGGGAGATACCCTACAATTGCATTTTTTATAGTACAACACAATTATCATCCACATTTATATATATGGTATATACATGCATATATATATATGAATATATATATATAAATATACACATACATATTTTGCTACATGTTACATGTCTCCCCAAATTGTCCACATCATTTCAGGTCCACTTGGGCCAGCGATGCGGTCGTGTCGCACGGCCGATTTTTTTGCCGCGGATTTCCGTGGGACTTGTAGGACGTGAAAAACCTTGGGTTACCCAGGTCATGAACAGCAGTCTATTCACCTAGAATTGCCAGCAAAGTCAGTTAATTCATCTAGTTAGATTCTATAATACCAAAGGCACCCAAAAAATGGATATACCATGAATGGTGATTTAGCCTCAGAGTTTACCAATATTTACGATCAAGATACCAAAAATGAACCAAAAAATATGAAACATTCGGGATTGAATCTGATACAATATGTATATATATATATCTATTTATTATGTTTGGGAGTTGTTTCTCTGTTTATTGAATGGAATGAAATCCCCAACGGCAATGGCTGATATCTCTGGGTCTGGGAGGTACAGAAAGCGTCGTTTTGAGGTGTCCTGAACCCTATTCCCACCCAGTTGGATGCGTCTCTGCTGGTTGAAAACTATTTTTTTAGGTTATGGTCGAAGTAATCACATCCCCTGTTCATGTTAAACAGCACCTAAATAGTCGCTGTACATGGTGTGTAAATTCATTCTTAACCATGTTTCCTGGTGTGTGTGTAATTTTAGGGGGATGGGATTAGTTGTAATTACTGTACATGGTTTTGTAAACCAGCAAAGATAATTTGCATGGCCCTTCGCAGGAAGAATTGGGATTTGCCATGAGAATAACATCTGGATTTAACCACAAGAAATGGGGGAGTTGCTATCCGATACTATGCTGAAAAAGTAGGCTTTACACCAAAAAGTAGGCAACAGAAATGAAGATATGGTCAAGAGGTGTAAGAGGTCGCTGAGTCTTTGAACTGATCAGCAAATCTTTTTTTTTGTGCCATGTTGGACTACCAAATTTGGTAGGCTTTGTTGAATTGCCAGCCAGCAGCCTCCGGATGATCTTGGGATGAACGATGATAAATCAACTATTACAACCTTGGGTTGATGGGGATGTTATAATATTTATAATTTACCTTGGGAATTGGGAAGATTATTCATAATTGTGATAAATCTTTGGATGGTTTTAATGACACTGTTATTTCTTATTCCGTCAAATTCCCTTCTTCGATAGTCATGATCATGGTGTTGAAATATAACCATCCTCCAGTGGGAGATAAGTGCATTTTTTTGGGAAAACTGCCAGGACCGAGGACATGAAAAAAGATGATTTACTGAGCCATGTTTGTTCATTTAAGACTGTTTATATCTGTTTATGATGTTGACATCGATTTCTTAGAGATATTCTATCTTGTGGGCATTAGAATGTTCCAACATTATTGTTTTGGAGCATCCAAAATAGTATGTTTATTATGTTGGCATCGATTTGACGTAGAACATTCTATTTGTTGGCATTTGTTCTTCCATATATGTAATTATACAAAGTGCATGAAAGGGTGGGCAATTTTTCATATTCTATTTGCTGTGTTTCAACACACACACACAATTGTCCAACGTAATTAGTTATCTACTAAATTTGTCGCGTTCGCCGGCAGCAAATTTGTATCGCTTGCACCCCCCTTTTTTGGGATCGCTTATCAACATGGTTATCATCCGCCATTATCATCATCATCGTCATCGTCATCATGTACTGTAAGTGCACATCCCATTCCCAGGGATTCCCACTGAAAGTTTTCCTCCTCGTTCTTGATCATGTTCCTGCAGGATGGGGCCCCCCAGTTATAAGTTGGTTTATAAGCCATGAAATAATCCCCATTAACTAGTTCGTTATATCTACCATAAACGATAGAATTCGGCCACTTTTTTTGGCAACTGAACGCTATCGACTGAGGGCCCCATCCTGTGGTTTTCCATGTTTTTTCCATGGCTTTTCCCATCCGCAACTCCCCAAGTCCAACTGCCCGTCGTTTTTTTTCCCGCAACGTGGCGTTGCGCCCCGCTCTGCGACGCTCAGTCAGAGAGCACCCACGCCGAAATCAACATGGGTCGTTGCCCGGCATGGTCGCACTGCCAGCCGGACTGGTCCGGCGTGCTTTTTTTTGGGGGGCGAAAATGGTGCAACAACGAGGAATTTGCCAAGCTTTTCTTGTGCGTAGTGACGGGGATATCATGGGGATATCATGGAGTGATATCATACAATCGATGATCGATGATATATTATATATTATATATTATATATTATATATATTATATATACCTAGACCTTCCAAAGTTCAATAATTTCTGTACTTTTGTGCTTTTGGCCGCAAATGACCGCAAAAAACCGCAAATGCCGCAAATAGTTCAAATTGGACCAATCGTTCAGAAACACACTAGAACAACATGAAATTGCAAGAATGAAGCTGACTTGACGTATCTTGGCATGCTAGATGGGAGTTTCTGCATGTTGACAAACAAAGTGGACCTGCTTAGCAGACGGAAAGAAAAACAAATCTACCGGTTGGTGAAGATTGGTGAAGAATATGACAAAATAATTAAGTTGCTCAAAGAAGGCTTTGGTGCCACGCTAAAAGCAATCTTTGCTGGATGGGAGACACCAGACCGCTATAGCCATTGAATTGAAACAGCCTGTTTTTGTCTAATTTGTAAAAAAAACAGAACGCCCATGTTTTTTTTGAAGAAATGCCTGCAGGAAGTTCCAAAACTGCTCTGAATTCAATAAAAATGTCGACAGTTTTCCCGCAAAAAGTACGCAAATTTCCCGCAAAAATACGCAAATATCCGCAAAAGTACGCAAATCGGGATTTCTTAACTGCTGCGGTTCATGCATGTGACAAATCGCATCAAATCGCAGCTTGTTGGAATGAAAACTGTTATTTCTGCAAACTAAGCATGCTTCAAACTAAGTATTTTCAAATATAGCTTAGTATTCCTGCATGTTTGAGGCTTTGAATCTTTGCGGGCTCCAATCACCAACACAAACTCTGCAAATTTAGGAAAGCATGGACATTATCACCAGCAGTTCCAATCGGTACATTATGAGGGACCCATTGCGGCAAGATATTTTAACCACCCGTGCCATATCTAAGGTGGCAGTCAGAACTGCTGTAAAGAGTTCACTTTTTGTTGAAACCGTTTACATTTAAGATTAAACGTTTCAACCGGCCCAAAAATGCAGAAATCCCAATCGTACAGAATTTTCTGTACTTTGGAAGGTCCAGGTATATATATAATATTATATATATATGATAATTCTATAAATTGGGATAGTCATCAATTTATCTATGAATTTCTACTTCTGGGATATAGTGATGATTATTGATGAATTAATTGGATCAATGGGGTATCAATGGAACTATCATGTGAATAGAATCATGACCTGCAAGAAAATAAGATTTTGAGACCTCGGTAATCCACGAGAAGGGAATGGTTCCTAATGTTTCCTACTTTACACAACTATACTATCCCTGGTGGTTTCAACCTGTAGTTCCACTGTGTCACATGGAAGTAGTTGATTCAAATGTCAATAGCCTCTGGTGAACTAACAGTTTGCAATGGAAAGATCCACCATATTATTAATGGGAAAATCCACTATTTCTATAGCCATTTTCCATTGCTATGTTAGTTCACCAGAGGGTAAACAGAACAGCCTCCAAGTGGGATACCTTAAGCATACCTTAACATCCCATAAAATCCTCTGGGACCTGGCAGCATATTTGCATGGGAACCACATGTTTTTGACCACCCAAAGCACTGCCATGGAATATGTTGGAAGAAATTTGTCATAGGTGTGAAGTTAGGGAACCGCTCATGGAAGTTTTTACAAGAGGAATCTCAGATGTCTGTTTGTTGCGAGAAAAAGTCTTCATCGATCCTCATCCACAAAGTCCAAGAAATGCAACTTATATGATCTTCGAAACATTGGATGTGTTGCCTTCCAAAGTGGTGTTTAAACATCTTTAAACATCTTCGCCCCAACCCGGACGTTGCTCCACACTTACAATCGTCATCGTCGTCATCATCGTCATCATCGTCATCATCGTCATCATCATCATCATCATCATTTTGTTGATCGGGAAAATATTATCAACTTTATCTGCATGAGGGATCTAAATTCGCCACCCCCTCTGAACAATATGTTGATCGAGGTAATAACATCAACTTTATCTTCATGAGGGATCTAAATTCGCCACCCCCTCTGAACAATATGTTGATCGAGGCAATAACATCAACTTTATCTTCATGAGGGATCTAAATTCGCCACCCCCTCTGAAGAATATGTTGGCCGGGGCAATAACATCAACTTTATCTTCATAAGGGATCAAAATTCGCCACCCCCTCTGAACAATGTGTTGCTTGGGGTAATAACATCAACGTTATCTTCATAGCCACCTGAAGTCAGACGCGGGGCAATGTGGATAGAAATTCTTGGCATGCGAAGCCCTACGGCAGGACGTCGGATTCGTGAATCAGAAGGGAGGCTGGTAGACCAGCGTGACATGTGGAATGATCCGTCGACCCAAGTCTACCCCCCAAAATCTTGGAGCAGAACATGACCCAATGATCATCATAGAACACCATTTTTGGGGGGTTCAATGTTCAAAAATGTGGATCTCTAAGATTTCTAAACATTGACCCCCCAAAAAAATCCAAGTTCATGGTGCGTTGGGAACTACTTACGGCTCTTCACCCATCCCATAGCCACAGAGTTTTAGTCATGTGCAGAACCCCCATATTTCCCAGGAAAAATCAGAGGTACCCTCCAGTTATTTGACATAGCCATGGAAAATGGGCCATAGAAATAGATGGTTTACCTATTAAAAATGATGATTTTCCATGGCAAACTGTTAAATAACCAGATGGTAGAACCAATGGTTTCTGAAGTTTCCCATACATTATGTCCTCAAACCAATTTAACCAATCCATTGATCAACCAAATACCCAATATTCTGATGTTCCAAAAAATTCAACAGTTTCATGTGGTTTTTCACCATGGATCAGAATAAAAAAACATGTTGGATAAACTAACCAACATGTTTCTAATTTTCATTGATTAAAAAGCCAGCATGTTTCTAATTTTTCCTGGCATCTGCCAGCATTTTCGATGTTTAAACACGTCACATTCGCCACTGGCTCCGCAGGCGAGCTGCTGGGTGGGGGAATCTGCATACAGACCCCGCGACTTGGCGGAAAAGAAGCCAGAGTCATTGAGTGATGGCTGCGTAGTGATGGCAGTATAATATATATATATATATAATATCAATATATATCATAGATAGATAGATGATGATAGATGTAGCCAGTGTTCTATAATATTATTTATTTATATATGATATATATATATATATACATTATATATATAATATATATAATATATATATAATATATATATATATAATATATATATATATGAGATGCGGTCAAAATAAGCGTAGACTACTTTAGTAAGGGAGGGTCCAGTTGTGTTGAGAAAGTGTACCAAATCGTGCAAAGGGATTAGGGCCCCCCCAAAAAAGATACATAACTTGTAACCATATGAGTGCATTAAACTTGGTGTAAACCGTGCCTTCACGCGATGGGCACAATTGATGAAAATTCAACCTGCAGTGCCCACGTTTCTTGCAGTTGCCATACCATTTGTTGTCCAAGGTGATTGAACCGTTGCTTTTTGCAGGTAGTGGTTTTTTCCTCCCAGGTCCCAAAGCAGTAGAACTAAACTCAACTAAATGCAACCAAATTCTGAAATGAATTAAAGCATAGTTTTCATAGAATTAGTTATTTTATACCCATTGGGAACCATTGGTCTTAGTCTTAATTAAGTTCAGAGTTGAGCTTGTATTAAATGTCCTTCCTTAGGAAAGAGTCCAGGAATGTGCTTACATAGCTCCCCAACATGGTTGCAAACGCAAAGACAACGAGTGCCCCTTAATCCATTCCCAGGAGCAGAGATTTGAATCTGTGAAGCCAATTCCGCTGCATTTTTGATCATTTAGTGTTGATTTGAACAAGACACTGTAAAGCGATAGGGCCCCCCAAAAAAACGATAACCTATATTTTCATACCGAGCATCAACAATTGATTTTGACGGCTGCTCATATATGGATAATCATAAGAATCACAGCAATAGCTAGTATAGAATTGATATAATATCCATTCTTTTGATTCAATGATTATCCATATATGAGCTAGTCTATTGATATTTCATGATTCTTATCACATAAAAACATCAATATCAAATAGTTATATCAATTTCATATCCATGACTCTGTGATCTCACAACAATATATATATATATGATTCTTATCACATAAAAACATATAAAAACATCAAATTTTCCATCTATCCATCTCACATGTCATGGTTTTTCCTTCCCCCATGGGAAGCTCCATGGATTTTGTTGACCCGCCATCGTGACAGTGATCCAAGGATCGAACGAGTTGAGGATTTCTTGGATCCCTTCCACTCAGCTCTAACCTGAGAGGCGCCGTGGCACTGGAAATGGGCGCCAAAAAATGCGAAGTTTTCAACAAAAAAATCGAAAAGTAGGTAATTAATTATGAATAGTTATGGGATATCCCCAGTTTCAAAAAAAATCGAAAGTGTGAACATTTTGAGCATTTAACTGAATGACTGACTAAGTTTGACTTGTTTGGGGAAGCTTAAGCCACCAAGGACTTCTCCCATTTTGGTCGAAATTCCTTTTGTCTTCGGCGGACCGCGTTTCCGAAAAAAAGCCGTCGCGCTGTTTCCGGACCAGGGATAGAAATCATGGTCGACCTTTCGGGATTTCCAGGTGAATTATGACATTTACCCTCTGGTAAATAAACAGTTGGACCCTGAAAATAGCCCATTTTTAATGGTTTCACTAGTCTTCCAAGCCCGATGACTGCCAGGGTCCAACTGTTAATTTACCAGAGGGTATCATGACTAGCCAGATTTGATGGTTGACGAAGTATGACTAAGTTGCTAAGTTACACTGGTGAAACTGGTGGTTTAGTGATTTCAAAGATGATCGATGGGTGGTTTCCATTGACTGAGTCAGACACTCGCAACATGGACAGGGATGGCTAGCTATTCATGGCCAAGATAATTACAGGATGAATAGATGATTTATAGTGATTTTTAGGGATTAATCGTAAAGGATCATATACTGGCTCATTATATTTATTATTTATATGCCATATCTCAGTGATATGGATAGATATGATAGGTGCTTCATACTGATCTGGTAGATTAAACAAGGTTCTGATCAGAGAGCTTTGCCTCCATCAGTAGAGGCATCACTTCGTCATCCGTTCGCAAATCGCCTTGGTGTTCCATCACCGACAAGGAGTCCTAAACTGTCCCAATCATCTGCCATCAGCCATCATCTGCCATCATCTGCAATCATCTGCCATCATCTGCCCATTTCATCTCATTTCCTATAGATTTTCCTACTGTGGATGGGCCAGCGAAATCCTGCACCAACCAATGGTTGAAACCCGAACAAAATCGTGGGATTTTTACCACTGTTTTCAACTGGTGCTTCGGATTTCGCTGGCCACCCTAGCACTGTTCAATCCCCACCTTCTCGCAAAAACCAACGACCTGTTGGAATGGTGAAAGGCTATCTATCATGGGCTAATCCTATGGCGAAGTGAATCAATATGACGTATGGATACGTATGGTGATTGACTTTAACCCATGAAATTTCATTAAAATCTGCTTAAAGGTCTATAGTCTATAGTCAGTAATATGAATTTTCATGAATTTTAATGGGTTAAAGTTTCCATAGTCTATAGTCTATAGTCAGTAAATGTCAGTAATAATCCAGAGATTTTCTGACCGTCCCATGATTCCCATTTCCCAAGTCACCACAGGGCTCCATTTCTCCGTTTTTGGTCAGGCAGACAGCGGTGTGGCGCTCTGGTTGAACACGCCGCGAACCGGCATGCCTGAGCAGCCGGTGGAAGTCGGTGTAAGATATGGCCGGCAGTGTCTACAGTGTCTACCCAATGGGTGAAAATATATCATAATGTACAGTAAACTAACATAACTATGGAAAATCACCATTTTCAATGGGTAAATCCATTATAAATCGTACCATTTTCAATAGCTATGTTAAATTACCAGAGGGTATCATAATGTACAGTAATTTAAAACTGTGTTATATAGTAAAAATATATCATAATATTCTTTATAATATGTATACCATCTGGTAATTTAACATAACTATGGAAAGATCCAGTACTTTAATATAGGTAAATCAACTATTTCTATGATTTCTATGGGCCATGGCTTCAATAGCAAACTGTGAGTTTACTGAAAGGTATGTTCATCATGAGTTGATTGAATTGATGTTGTTCATCGTGAAGGCTGGTGGTTCCTCGTTGGCACGATGTTTTCACATTGCGGCCAGACGTCCAAGTGACGTGAACATGTGGTTGTTGACCGAACATGGTTCTTAGGGTGGTGATGGATGAGTATGATATGCCTGGGTTGCACCTGCCCTACGGTTGGGCATGTGAAAGTGCGACATTCATATCCCCACTCTTGCAGATTGAGGTACCTCATCGTGGAGCCCAAATATACATTAAATCGGTCTTACGTTGCTGTGAATGAGAAAATATAGTAGATATGTGGAAACACATAAACAATCATAAACATATATAATAGATATGTGGACATGGTGCTATATATATTACAGGCATAGATATGTGGAGACCTTAATGGACTTCGATTCCCAGATTTTTCGGTCTAGAAAATCCTGGACATGCTGTAGGCTCCAACGCTGAGTTTCCCGGGTTTTCGATGCATTTCTCCACCTGAAGACCTCCAAAAACTTACTGGTGCTAAACGTAGGGCATGGATGAGAGGGGAATGGGATGATGACATTACTAGTGATGAAATGGATCATTCCCGAAAATTCCCTGCGTTTAGCGTTTAGCACCAGTAAGAAAATGATAAACCTGCTTTGAGATCAGCTAATATCAGTCTCCCCTATCTGATATGGACCATTTCAATGGTCAATGGCCAGAAAGGTCCCTCTTGACACTGCCATCATGGCCTTTCACGGATCTTTTTCGCTGCGACTGCGGTGAGTTTTCGCCACGGGGGTCCCGCGTGCCAATGGAAACGCGACCTCTGGCGAAAAGGAAAATACGACTTGGGCACTGCGCACTGAATGAGTTGCAAGCACAAAAAGGCGAAGATGGGAGATCCGGACAGACCTAATAATTTTGGATAATTTTGGATATTCAGAAGCATGATATTCTTTTGATTTGGAGACATAAATGAACTGTAATAGTAAATATATATATATATATATTATAAATGATATTCTTTGAAGCAACAGATCGACCGGGGTTTCAGTGAAAAACCGGTCTGTCACAGACCTGTGCCATCCGAAACTCGGGTTTAGGTACACCCTGGTTGTCCCCTCTTTGGGACGGTGATGGGGGATGATGGGAACTGGACGGCTCAACGACCAATCAGTTTATAAGTTTCATGTGGTAAACTTGATACAATGTGTTGGCCGGGCATGTTTTCAGCGGGGTATGGGATGGGTACGGGTTACCACATGAATTCATTTTGCCAAATTTTTTTCATACTCCCCAAAGGAACCTGCTTTATTGTACATGACGGATCCTAACGGTGCTGCCATATATGGTGTGCCATGGATCCCAACAAAAACCCCAGTCATGCTAGCATTTTTCTACCAGCACCAGCCGGATCCTAGGATCCGGGGATGGGAATCTGATGGATTTTCTGTGCAATTTTTGAGTGGGTGAGTTTTTTTGCCATGAAAAATCCATAAAATTCCCCATAAAGAATCCCATGAAATATCGCATGAACTCCATTTAGCCTCTGGTTATGACTAACATAGCCATGGAAAGATCCCTTTTTAACAGGTACACCATCTATTTCTATGGGCCATCTATACCATGGCTATGTTAGTCATAACCAGATGGTAAGTTTTTCCTTGAATGCACCATCCAGAGTCCAGAGTGTTTTTCCACTCGTCAGGGTTTCAGGGTTTTTTTGGGCAGATGTTGGACTCCGTTTGGACGTTGGCTCCGTTGGCTCTTGGAGATCTGAAAAAGCGATGTTAGCCGGGTAAACACGCAGCCAATGTTCGAAAATTCACATACTTAGTGCATGTTTCCTTCCAGAGCTATGGAAATTGGTGCAAAATAGATGATTTACCTATTGTTCAAAAACTGGGACTTTCCATAGCTATATATGTTAAGCTCGCAGATGGTATCTCATGTTCATCTCGTGAATTGTCAATAAACAGAGAAAGTCCTGAGTAACAACAGACCCAAATGAACAGGTGCCGATGCCCAGTGCCAAAATGAGAGGAATCTCGGCAGATAAAATTGCTGACGTTTTTAAAGTGGTACGCCAAGATACATCATCAGAAATACATCATGATATATCCCTCCATTCATTCCACTTAAGATCAAACACATCAAACACATCAAACACATCAAACACATCAAACACATCAAACACGACCACCTGCAACGATGAAGGGCAAGGGCGGCTATGGCTATGGACAGGAACGATGGGAGCGGCATGGTAGTTTTAACTGGGTCGTCCCAGAAAGTGTGGCTATTTGCCCTTGAAAATCGTGATCCAAACAGAAACATTTGATTCCTGACAAGTTGGGCCTGACAAATTCTAGGGAATTGTAGTGAATACAGGGATACTTTAGATACCATTCCTTTAAATATAGTGAATCTAGTGGAAAATGGGGGGAATAGAGTGGAAAATCATCTATCAATGATGGGAATCATAAGGACTACCCTCTGGTAATGACTAACGTAGCTATTGGAAATTGCCATTTAGTTCGTTGATTTACCAATGAAAGATGGTGGATCTTTCCATAGTTATGTAAACGTTTACCAGAGGGTAAATCCACCATTTTTTCAGATCAGATTTGAAGATGATGGCCGCTCTTTTTTGGAGATTGATTTACCATCTGGTTATTTGACATAGCCATAGAAAACCACCATTTTTAATAGGTAAACCATTTATAAATGGGCCATGGCTTCCATGGCTATGTTAGTCATGACCAGATGGTATTTTGATTTCTTCCTGATCAAAATTCCGAAATTGATGACAGAAATGACCATAGATCTAGTGAAACATCTAAATACCATTAGGTGTTTCACTAGATCTATGGTATTGAATGGTATTTAGATGTTTCACTAGATCTATGGTAACAATCTAAACCTAATGGTATTTAGATGTTCACTATGGTATGAAGATACAGCTACCTTCCCAGCTATTTTGCTGTGAATAGAATCCTATTCGAAGGGGATTCCAATGGTTTGACCCAGGCCCATACCCTCTAGTATTTTTTTTATTTTCCATACCCTCTAGTAAACATACAAAAAGCTATTGAAAATGGCCATTTATAGTGGATTTACCCATCAAAAATGGTGATTTTCCATAGTTATGTTAAATTACCAGAGGGTAATATATGGGATAATCCTTCCCATTGACGAACTCCATGATTTTTCAGAGGGTTTGATTGAAACCACCAACCAGGGTAAAGCCCAACTGACGAACTCATATTTCTCAGAGGGGTTATTTCAACCACCAACCAGACATTTTGAATAGGTAAATCAGGTAAATCATCTATAAATGAATCATTTCCCTTTTCGCGATGGGTCATGACCAAAGGGTACCCACAAGCTGTTGATCTGTTCCCAGAAATGGCTCAACCACCAGGCAGTTTCAGATTCGTTTTTTTTGGTTCCCACTAGGTGAAAATAGGAAAACCACCATGTTTTTTTGCCGTACAACATGGTTATCCCCCCATGAGAAACGGAGGTTTTTTCATGGGAATATGGGAAACAAACTGGGAAAATCTCTACAAATGAAGTTTTTTCAGGCTTGCTTTTCTTTTAGGTGTATCAATCCCATCAATCCCAGAATTTTGAAAGGTGGTTTTGGGTTTTTATGGACAAGAAAAGGACTGAAGTCCATGGTTTTCCGTAGATCTTCGAGAAAAAATCCATGGAAACAATGGAAAAATTCGCCAAGCTTTTCTTGTGCGAAAAAAATGGGGATATCATGGAGATATCGAGGGAAATCAAAAAAAATCGATGACTGGTTGGTGGTTTGAACATTTTTTTTTTATTTTCCATAATATATATTAATATATGGGATGTCATCCTTCCCATTGACGAACTCATATACTCATATTTTTCAAGATGATGTCTCAACATGTTAAAAGCACCAGAAAAACCTAATCGAAACTCATCATTTCTCGTCCTTAAGTCAATGAGAAATCCAGATGTTTCATACAGGATGGGGCCTTCCCAGTTATGTGAACGTTGGTTTATAAACCATGAAATAATCCCCATTAACTATCATAAACTAGTTTATATAATCCCCATTAACTATCATAAACTAGTTTATATAATCCCCATTAAATATCATAAACTAGTTTATATAATCCCCATTAAATATACTATAGATATTTTAACTAGTTCATTACATCAGTTATATCTACCATAAAAGTTTCGGCTCCGTCCCTAACAGTGGTGAAACCTTGTCAGCTAGACACGGAGAGTTGATCATACCTTGCCATGGATACCCATCGCTTTGTTTGGGAACCTGTTCGGAATGATGAGATTGGTTCCTGCATTTCGGTTCTCATTTTTGTTCATGGGAATATGGCGGTGACTGTTGGAGGTCAGCAAATTGTGAAATGTGACACCTTGTTTCCCTCTGGCAAACTCTTTGCTCTTCATTCGTGGACTTTGGTGGATGTCACTGTGGATTCCCTTGTGTTGTCCTGCCATTCGGATTCCGTTTCTGTGGAGTTACCAGTCCCTGCCCCTGTGGACTTTTTCAGCTTCTCTGAAGTTTGTGCTGGCTTGGGAGGCACTTCTTGTGGTGCCCAAATGAGTGGTCTCCGTCCCCTTCTGGCTTTTGACAAGTCTCAGTTGGCTGTGGACTTTCTTCGTCGCAACAAATTTCCTGTGGTGCAGCATGGTGATCTGTTCTCACT